ATCCCAGGACCCTGGGATCATGACCTGAGCCGAAGGCAGACGCTTAACAACTGAGCCAACCAGGCGCCCCTCTATCAACTCCTCTTAATGCCCTTCCAATCTACCTTTGCTCTTGCTGTACTCACGGAATCAGTGTAGTCTCTGGTCTCCAATGACTGTTTCCCTGATTTAACCCAAAGATCTCGGTTTCATCCTTTACAACTCTGATGCACCAGACACTAGTAAGCAAATATCTCATTTCACTAAGGCCAAAAGAGCAGAATATTTCACTGTATTTACATCTTAGATTTTTTATCAAATACACAAACTCACCACGTCCTAGGTTTCAGTTACCATCTTCATTGAGAAAATTTCCAATCTTTCTCAAATTCTTTATGACTCTATGTCTTATATATAAGGTATCTCCAGTTGAGCTACACAAGCACCTGAAACTTAGCATACTAAAAACAGAATTTATCTCTTTCCCCAAGGAGAAAAATTTTGTCCCACATTACCTCCCTACACATGACACACATTAAATGTTGAACAATTGTTAGAACAGAAAATACAACAAACAGGTTTAAGATACTCATCAATTTGCAAGCTTTTAAAGAAAATGATATTTTCCCAATATACACAAAATTTTAAACTTTATTTTACTAAAAACTTATGTAACATTTCTTTTTCTATATAACATTTCTTAATAACAAGTCAAAGAAAAGTTAGCAGGGAAGCACTGGAACCTATCTGTGATGTGGCTTGAAATATTACATGATGGTAAGACCTATCCTTCAAGTACAAGCTGGAAGATTTCTCAGCTAAAATGGGAACCTTATAATATAGCAAGAGCCAGAGTTTCTTACATCTTCTCCTTACCTCCAATCTCTTTTCTTCTTTCTAATACATTCTCTACTCTGCAATGAGAATTATGTTTCTAAAATATCGAACTAATCTGGTCAATAATCAAAAATGCCTCCCACAGCATACTAAACAAATTTCAAATTCTTTAATCTGGTATTCAACTTTTATAATATGGTGTCAGCATATTTGTCACATTTCACTTCCTACTAATGTACCCCACCCCATGCTCCAGTCACCCCATCCTCCTCATCCATTAAGACCCAGCAAAAATGAGGGACTTGTGATAATGTGTCAAGCAGTAACTATGCACTAAGACTACCAAGATAAAAAGAGTACATTTGGTGGAAAGACATACAACAAAGCAAATCAATGTTATTTAGCATAAAGGCTGTGACAAAAAAATACAAGCAGGATACAGAACAGCAAATTATTAATTCGAACTAATAAGATCAGAGAAAGCCTCATAGAAAAAAATAAACAGTTGTTCATGGATCAAAGAATAATAAACCTTATGTAGCAAATACTATATATACCAAAATCTATTCTGTTGATACATATATTAATCCCCATTTTCTTAGATGATGAAAATGAGAGACAAAAAGAGTTTAAGTTAAACATAGTAACAACTACCATTTACTGAATACTTACAACATACCAAGCACTGTGCTAAACATGAAAAAGGAACAAAATGGAATTAAGGCTCCTAATTGAAAAAAAAAAAAAAATTGTGAGAAAAGGCAGCTTTCTCATTTTGTACCTCCACTGGTAAGTTTTAACCTCAATGAGATTCTTTCCTGAAACAGGATAAATTAAAGGGATAAAAAAAATATGATAAAAGAAAAAGGATTCATTTAATTACCCATACCCTACAGTCATAATTTTTTAAATTTCAACAAAAGTATCCTTTGCCCAATTTTCTCAATAGCATTAACTGATTTATTCAACAAATATCTATGAATTATCTACTCTGTATAAGACAAACTAAGGACAATCGTTTTCCTACACTTCCTACCAAAATTCCACTAAAATGCATTCATCCATTCTAGAAGAGAGAAAACAGATGGGATTATTTTGGGATTAGGCAGTGCAGAAAAAACTGCAGTCTAAAACAAACATGAACAGCCCCACAAGAAGGCTACACCCACAGAGAAGACATTCCTGCCAGCAGAGCCTGGAGAAGTACCAAACCTGGAAATAACAAGAAGAGAAAGCAGGAGGGGTCTGTAGGATTAAAAATAGGAAGATTTAAAATAATTAATTAATTAATTAATAAAATTAGGATGATTAAAAGATGCGTATGGAACAGCCCACCCAAACCTCTTACCCCCTTCCTTTACACATAGAAAGTCTATCAGCAACAGTATCAGTTTCTAGCTAAAACATGTTTGTTTTTCTTAACAATCTACCCTGAAAGCATTAGAGCATCTTCACACTCCCTAACAAAACCTTCCTTATTTGGACATAGGCTGGAGGGAGAGGAGGGCACAGTTCTTTTCCTACATTTCATCCATGGACCCTAAAGTGAGGCCCAACAATTAATACCATGCTCAAGAATCACTAATTTCTTTTTTTTTAAGGAAGAGCAAAAGCTCAAGAAAAAAGGATGAAAATTAACAGCTGACCTGAAGGAAACACAGCTATTTCTGGGAATGGAAGATAAATGTTTAAAATTTATAAGTGCTATCCTACAAGAAATTCATGAAGGCACTGCATCCATTAAAAAAAGAGCACCTGCAGGTGTGCCTGGGTGGCTCAGTCAGTTAAACGTCTGACTCTTGGTTTCCACCCAGGTCATGATCTTGGGGTCTTGGGATTGAGCCCCGCTTCAGGCTCTGCACTCAACAGGGAGTCAGTCTGCTTGAGATTCTCTCTCTCTCTCTCCCCCTGCCTCTCCTCCCACTCATACGCATACACACACTCTCTCTCTAAAATAAATAAATCTTTAAAAAAAAAAAAAAGAGCAACTGCAGTACACCTGAAACAAATATAACCATATGTTAACTACACTGGAATTGACTGATTGATCCTCCATATTACTTAATTTTTTTTTTCTTTTTGTCCTTTTTCTCAGTTTGGAAGAATCTCTCTAAATGGAATTCCAAGTAGGACAGAGAAAATGGAGAGAGAAATAATAGAAGAAAATTTCCCAGAAGTGAACAAACAGAACTCATGGACTGCCATGAAGGACACATGAGAAAGTATCCACACCTAGAAACACTCTCATAAAATATCATAAAACCAACGATAAAGAAAAAAAGTCTAATAAAATCTTCCAGATAAAAAAGCATATCACTTCGGAAAAAAGAGAACCAGACTGGCATTAGGCTTTTCATCAGATAAATTCTATAGAGGCTAAGAGGCAAAGGAACAATGTCTTCAAAGTCTTGAGCAAAACAAAATGATTTTGAACTATGAATTACATTCCCAAACAATTAAATGAGAAGGCAATATAAGTGCATTTTCAGATATATGAGGCCTGTGAAAATTAAATTTACTGCTTAATATCCTTTCTGGAAATATTATTTGAAATTAGTTATACTCTAACGACATGGAGAAAAAATCTGAGATAAAGGAGGACATGGAATAACACAAAACAGTAGTCTTGACCCAGAAGAGTGATACAAAGAAACCCCAGAATATAGATATGCTACAGACTTGGAAAGCAACCAGTATATATTAGAAGATGTTTGAGAGTTCAATGTATCTTCAAGAACAAAATCAATTCATTTTAGCAAA